AGTTGTAGAACAATCTCAAGTGGTTACGTCGTCAACAACAGAAGACATGACAGAATCTGTTAAACCAGAAACAAAAAGAATAATACCTGAACAAATACCGTTTGAGAGTATACAACAAATTGAATCGATTCCTCATGAAAGCGAACGTTTGTTTCTCCCTGATGAAAAGGTACCAAGTACAACGGCCGATGTTTCATTCCGCGTTTCTGAAGGAGTTGAAGTTATTCAAGTAACCACTACGGAAAAGGAAACAAAAGAAATCGTAAAAGGCCTTGAAGAATCAACTAAACAAACAGCCGAGCAAAGTATGCTAGGTATGCCAGTTGTGGAACAGTCTCAAGTGGTTACGTCGTCAACAACCGAAGAGATGACAGAACCTGTTAAACCTGAGTTAAAAAGAATAATACCTGAACAAATACCGTTCGAAAGTATACAACAAATTGAGTCAATTTCCCATGAAAGCGAACGTTTGCTTGTCTCAGATAAAGAAACAACTACCGCAACAGCTGAAATTTCATTCCGCGTTTCCGAAGGCGTTGAAGTTATCCAAGTAACAACTACAGAAAAGGAAACGAAAGAAGTTGTGAAAAATCTAGAGGATACAACAAAACAGATAGCAGAGCAAAGCATATTGAGCATGCCGGTTGCTCAAAAATCTCATGTGATTGCATCATCTTCGTCAGAGGAAATGATGGAATATGTTAAACCTGACGTAAGAAAAATAACACCAGAACAGATACCATTTGAAGGTATACAACAGATGGAATCGATTCCTCATGAAAGTGAACGAAATCTTATCGCTGAAAAAGCACCAGTCAGCGCAACAGCCGAAGTTTCATTCCGTACTTCGGAAGGTGTTGAAGTTATTCAAATAACTGCTACAGAGAAAGAAGCAAAGGAAGTCGTCAAAGGTCTCGCTAAAGAAGTTAGCGTGCAACCGGATATAATTGAACGAAGAGTTGCCTTAAAAACTGAAATCCTTCCGGAAGGTGTAGTATCGGAATTTAGTGTTCCAAAACCAGAAAGTAAAACAGCTCATGGAGTAAAAGATGAAAGACAAGGCGTAATAGTCACCGAATTGCAATATGTTACTGAAATCGAATCAAATCTACCCGAATCCGTCATACCAGTAGTACCAAAGTTAGCAAGCACATCTATCGAAGCCGACTACTTGGAAAAACTTTTGGGTAAGTATTATACATATAGAAAGATAACATGACTGATTGCACTGATAATTCAAACACGACGTTTAGAAAAATTCGATTCAATACAATACCACGACTAGGATCAGTAACATCTAACCAATGGATCTGACAAGTTGGATAAGTAGACTAGAAGTTTAGGTTTAGGGTTAACAAACTACATAAAAAGAGGAACGTAATTACATAAACATATTATTAATGTTTGATAAATATAGCAAGTATGTTAACAGACTTGTGTTTGACATAAATTTATATGCTCTCAGTTTGTTCCGGTAAGTATAAAATCATTAAACAGCACAGACACATGCAAGTGACATACGCCACAAAATTGTACAACACATAATAGACACTTTTGGACAAAAATATTTCTTCCCTTGTACAATTAACTAGCAGCTGAATCGTAATATTTAAAGTAAGGTGATCCCCAACACACATTTAAGTAGTAAATAATATAAATAGAAAGAAAAACGGTATATTCAGAAATTCCTTGAACTAATATGTTAAAAGGAACACAAACGCCAAAATACAAGTAACCTGACAGATTTACAAAACATAAAACATAAACAGTTTAATCACATGACACCACTGTTCTATATACATTTCAGAAACAACAGAAGCATCAGAGCAAGAACATCATATCACAATTACACAACACACTACAATACACGAAACAAAACAACCAACAAATGAATCTGATACTGAAGAAACAGAAGAATACACCACTAAATTTAGACGCGGCAGTAAAGAAGACGAAACAGCAGTAATTAAAACAAAGAAAACAACAATACGAAAAAAGAGACCAAAAACTAAATCAGAAGAAGAAAACATTGTAGTGATTGAAGAAGAAATTGAAGATATAAAATCACAAATGCTACCTATACCGAAAAAAGAATTATTGCAAATTGAAGAAGTAACAGGAATAACGGGACTAGAAGAAATAGCACCAACAAAAATAGAAGAACAAGAAGAAATAATACAAGGTGAAGCATTGCAAACAAAGATGGATAAATTACCATCAACTGATACACCAAGTCCAATAGAAAAGGTTGAAGAGGCTATTCAATCAAAATTACCCTCCAAATTCGCAAAGCCTTCGGAAGAAGAGAAAATAAAAGAGCAAGTGACAGTGACTGAGGAAATCATCGAGGGAAAGAAACCGAAGAAGATAACCAAAAAGAAAATTATTAAACGCACGGGAAAGAAACAGCAGGAGGAAACAACCATAGAGGAAAACGGTCAATTACCTGTGACAACAATCACAGAAGGACCAGTGGAAGAAATTGTAGAAGAAACGATACTTCCTCTCCCACGTCCCG